AAAAAAATAAAAGTGGGCCTTTTGGTTTAGCTTTAAGCATAGAGAATAATACATGTATTAACTAATTCAGCTAGTCTGATTCCTTTGATAGATGAAATGACCTCAATTTTTTGCTTACTCTGTTAGCTAGTTAGAAACACTAGTATCCACTCATTTCACAGCATGTGGACTGTGTTCTAAGAAATCAAGTATGTAAGGATTGATTTTTGTGGATAATGCTTTCTGGGATACTTAAATCAATGGTCTAAGGTCCCCACATATCCTAGAGCAATTAACTATTAATCATGTATACCCAAGTCTCAGCAACAAACATTTTTAGGTAACATTCATTTTATTATCAACAAAAGAGAAATGAGAAGCTGCTATGGTACATGTATGGTATGACTTGGAAGGTATTACAGGAGTTATATGGTGGAATAATCACATAGAGCTTGGATAATTAGATGTTTCATGGGAAAAGGAGATCTGAAGTCTTGGCAAAGGTCAAGACTGAGTAAGCAGTGAGAAAGAACACTAGTGAACACTCTAAGTGTTCACTAGTAAGAGGTAGAAATGAATGTGGCTTTTCCGGGGAACAATCAGGAGAACAGTTTGATCAGATTAAGAAATTTAGCATGACAGCATGATCCCTTCAAAGTGAGCAGGACAACACTCTCAATATGTAGTTAAGTTAGTAAACAGTACAATCTAAAGAAACCAAGACCCTTGGAATTCTAATCTACTTCCTCTACTAACTAGATGTATCATTCATGAATTACATTACTCTGAAAGAATATACAGACATCTGTGTTACCTAACTCAGAGGTCCCCAACCTCCAGGATGTAATGCCTGATGATCTGAGGTGGAGCTGATGTAATAATATAAATAAATTGCACAGTAAATGTAATGCATCTGAATCATCCTGAAACCATGCCATCCCTGGTCTATGAAACTGGTCCCAGGTGCCAAAATGGCTGGGTACTGCTGATCTAACTGACCTCACAGGATTATTTAATACTGGAATAATACAGGGGAATATTTGCTTTAACTTTAACAAAAAGTGAGCACAATCAGATACTCAAAATAGGGAATAAACATATATAACCATTACAATGTTAACTTTATTAGAAATCCTTAATCTATCCTAACTGAACACTAAACTTTTAAATTCATTGCCTAATTACATGCATTTAAGGGTGAGGGAACTGGAGAACTTGGGAAAGATTAGGTTTAACTGACTAAATGCCTCAGGAAAGGTTAAGAGCAGGACAAAGAACTAAATCTCTCATTTTTCTGGAGAGAAAAGCAGAAATAATTAGGAAGAGAGTGACTGGATAATCTGTCATCCAAAGTGGGACAGTGAAGAGTGTGAAGAACATGCCATTAATAATCATACTGGGCAAACATAAACTGGGACATATAATCACTCTTCTCACTATACGTATGGTATATAAAAATTTTCCTATAGGCAATGAGGAATCAGAAAATTTTCAAACAGGAGAGACAACATCACATGTGCTTTAAGGAAGATGACTTTGACAGCAGTGAGGATGTGAAAGATATGAAGGAGGGAACTCAGGAGGTAGGAGGTTGTTTCAGTAATTCTATGATACGATGTTGGGCTAAAGTCAGGGCAGTGGAGATAAGAGAGGACAAATCCTCTATATGCATACTTGTTTTCAAAAGAACCTGAAGAAAAGACAGAACAGCTAACTGCTTTCTTACAAAAGCAAAAAGCAACATGAGGCACAAAGAATGGGAGCAATGCTTATACTAGATCCTTACTTCATACCTAAATAGACTGTCATTTACCCAAATCTCCATGTACCAAATACAGAATTTCAGCTTCTTCTCTTCTTCCAACCAATCTCCACCTCTATTTAATTCTCAATTTGCTTTTGCTATCATTTCCTTTTGTGTCCCATCTGGCTTTTATTCTTTTAACTGTATAGCATACACCAAAAGACAAGTATTTATCTTCCCCACCATCACTCTCAATACTGGTCCCCATTTCAAAACATTAGTATATATATTTCCTTTCCAACTTAAGCCATAAATGCTTATTCAATGAATTAGGTTGTTCTGGATATTAGGTAATAGTCAAGGGCATCTTACTGGATTTCTGAATTCTCAAGATCCCTGCAATGTATCACACTAGGATTATTTCATTGTTTTGTTTCTTCTGTTTGAGATCTTTCTTATACATCTGAATACCCTTACTCAATGTTTCCAAGGAAGATATTTTCTTCCTTCATCTTTTTGTCTGCCTACTTTTTTTGAGAACAGGAGCTCCCGGTTCTGGGGATATAGCTGTACTACACTATTACATGATCAAAAAAAGGGTTTCAGCAAATGGGGCTAAAGTAGGTTTTAACAGAAGACTTCGATAAAGGCAAAGCAGATTTTTGTTTCCAGACTCCCATTTACCTGCTCTCCAAAGGCAAAATGCCTTTTCCTTTAGAGAATGACATTATGTATGTTAAAAAAACCAAAAACAAAACTCCACTGGCTGCCTAGCATAAAAGAGTATTTCTCAAGCTGACATTCACTATCACAAAGGAGCGGAGACTTTCCTCTAGAAATTTAAAATTTTGTATTCTTATTTTGACAATAATCTATTCTTAATAATCAATGTAAATATATTCTGGATCATCTGGAAGACAGAGTAGTGCCATGGAATTTGTGTGTCTGAATTTGGTTTTGTGTTTACAACCACAGTAACAGCAACCTAATGGTGTGCATTAATGAGAAATTAATGTAAGTGTGCTATTATATAATAAATGCATTTATACCAAGTGAGAACCAAATTATGCCACATATATGAGTGAAGAATTCACAAGAGTTTGAAGACACAAAATAGATGGGAGAATTGAATTATTATTCTATATATGGTACAAGAATAGAAGCCTCAATAAAACAAAAGGGCTTTGTGTATATTATTCGAGTTGGAAAAGCATTAGTGTTAAGACATAGAAACATCTGGAATTCACAAGGGTAAAAGATGTAAAGCATATGCAAATTCACCATTAATCTTCTATTGCTTGCATGGTAACTGTATCATTCCTCACATTCCATCCTGGCTAATACTTGAAGAGATATAATCAAGGGGAAAAAGTACAGAATATGACACACACTAATACTGGTGGCAGTCTTGATTTAAAAAAAAATGAGGACAAGGACTACTAAATAAGATCTCATGACCTCATTTCAGCATTGTATTGCTTAGAAACTCTATACACAGGATGAATACTTAGAACAGATTCGACCAAAAAGAATTTTACTTTTCTTTCTTCCTTAAAATAACATGCTTATTTTAAAAAATATGGAAATGCAGAACAAACAAAATAAAATCACCTATACTCTTCTTATTCAAACTACCATTAGCATTTTGGAATACTTCCCTGTATTAATTCAATACACAGAATTCTCTTTGCTTCTTGTTCTTCTTTAACATGGCTGAAATCATGGTATACTACAAATCACTTATTACACTGTAACTTGGAGTAACTTTGCTGGATTCAAACTGCAGCTCGGATTCTAAATCCAAATGGGGCACCTATGATTCTGAGTTTAGAACCAGTGAGAGGACCTAAAAAAATCTGACTCAGATTCAAAATAAACTTTAAATACCAAGACCAAAGGATGACTTATCTCAGAACATTTAGTGTTTACTGAAAACTTAAAAAGAGGGTGGGGGAGAGAGCAATGTCTTGATCAGTGAAAGCTACAACTTATTATTCTGGCAGTAAAATTATTACTGAGGTCTTTGTTTCTAAATAATGAATAATTAGTAATAAGAGGATTTTCTGAAGTGAAGTGAAGATATTTGATAACTTGAAGCAAAGAAACTTGAATAATACAACTTAGCAAGAGACCTACTTTGAATCTGGAAACGTAAATTATTTCACCTAAATTACTTTACCTATTATTACAAAAGATATATAACCAATTAAATGAACTTGTCAATGTTCAAAACAAACTGTTCTATGTACATTTTTAAATATACAAGATCTCTGATTGAAATATGTATTATAAAGTTGAGTATTTTCAACCCACAAAATATATAATGAAATATAAGAGTAAACTGGGAAGGGGGATATATGATGGCACATAACTAGAAGGTTAAAAAACTTGGTGTTAAACACACACACACATACACAGAGAAGAAGCTTAATCCTGACTTTGTCAGTCACATATGGAAACATGGATAAGTCATTTGGCATGTTTAGCTAGAGTTTCAAAATCTATAAAACAAGAGAGTCACTCTAGCTATAAACCTTATTGAGATTTTTTTCCCCTCTGCATACAATCTCACAAATCAGACATGAAAATAACTTTTTAATAAAATCTCTCTACAATCACTTCAATTAACTATCAAAACAAAAAATAAAATCTTCTCATAAGTTAGTGCTTATGCTCTTAGAATTGGCTCCAACTAAAAGTTGAAGTCAGGCTTTTCCAATGGCTAGTGACATCTCGTGGGCATATCAACTGCTTTCAACGTATACTATTACTGAGGCCAAATCTTCATTTTACTCTTGCTCCCAAAACACCAACAGGAAAGTAAACAAGAGAAGAACACAAAATATAATCTATATATCAGTAGTTTAAAAAGAATAAAAATATATGTGATACTGAATGCTATATGATACTGAATGTAAGTACCCTTAACTATGTAAAGAAATTACTTCTGAATTTTAAAGAGTAAAAATTAATATATAAGATCCTGCACTTAATGAAATTCTTTATTTGAAAACTATGCATATGTACTGTCCTCATCCTACAAATAAAAACCCAGATTGGACACTTTCTACAGGAAATCAATGGGAATGAAGCTATATACAATCAATGAAACACTGATGCATAATTATCCAATTATTTTTACATGCAGAAGTGCTGTTGTACTTTGTACTCTGACAGCCACCTAGTCTCAAAATAGTTTAGTTCAAGAACAATGAGAAATCCAACTTCTAATTAACTACTGGTTAATGTATTTTTTAAAAAACTCTTTCTGACTCACCTTAGTCCAAGGATGTGCCTTAATCTGAGGGAATTTGAATTCCGTGTAGTTTGGGTTCATTTCTCTAATTTGCTCCCTTGTTGGTGTCCCCAGGACCTAGATAAAGAAAGAAAGTTATTGCCATAATTTTCTATATACTTATATAGTCTTTATGTTTTAATGTACTGGTTTCACTGGAAAAAGGAATTCCAAAAGTTATAAAATATGTAACTCATTAAATAGAGAAGACTTTATAAAAGACTTCAATTTCTGACTAGAGAACCCAAGCTATAGGTAGTATACAGACTTTTTAGCAGTCATCAAGTTTGTGTAAGAAAGGTCACTCAAAAATATTCAACTGAAAATCAGGCATCTTTGTTCTGTCTAGAAAAACAATCTATTGTGATGACATCTGAAGTGAGAGTATCTTTTATTCATTTATCCATCAGTAAAGTAAGTCAAAGGTTTTATTATCAAAAAACTAATTAGGAGAACCTTGGTTAAACATGGTCATCAAAAATTCCACTCAATCACTGAATATTAAGTGAATGTCCCTGTGTACTATAAACTATATGAAGAATACTAAGAAAAAGAGAGATTCTAACTATGAGAAACATATATTTGTGTGTGGAAAAAAGTATAACTATAATACAAGATAAAAATATATTGAAAATATTGAATATATTGAAATATATTGAAAATATATTCAAAATAATTGAAAATATATTGAAAATACTTCATTACCTCCAGAACTGTATTAGGCACCAAACGAAGGAAAAGTATATGGACTTGACTGTATAAGACAGATGATGGGAAGAGACATTAAGTACTAAAATGAGTACTTTGAAGAAAAATGACACTTATTAAGTATCTTTATAACTCTAGTGCCCAATATAAAACAAGTCTGTTGAAATAAAATGTTAATCCATTTAACTCAAGGACAGTTGCACAGAAGGAGTAGAATGTAAAGTACTTCATCAGTGGTGAACAAAAAGGGCAAACTAAGAATTTCAGGTGTTTGTTGTTATTATTTCTAATTCTCTAGACTTCATTAAAACTTTCAGAACTTAACCAAATTTTTTAAAGTTTTATTCTTCAAAAGATATTCATACAATTTTAGAAACAAAAGCAAAAATAAACAAATGGGACCTAATGAAACTTAAAAGCTTTTGCACAACAAAGGAAACTATAAGCAAGGTGAAAAGACAGCCCTCAGATTGGGAGAAAATAATAGCAAACGAAGCAACAAAGGATTAATCTCAAAAATATACAAGCAACTCCTGCAGCTCAACTCCAGAAAAATAAATGACCCAATCAAAAAATGGGCCAAAGAACTAAACAGACATTTCTCCAAGGAAGACATACAGATGGCAAAAAAAACACATGAAAAGATGCTCAACATCACTCATTATCAGAGAAATGCAAATCAAAACCACAGTGAGGTACCATTACACGCCAGTCAGGATGGCTGCTATCCAAAAGTCTACAAGCAATAAATGCTGGAGAGGGTGTGGAGAAAAGGGAACCCTCTTACACTGTTGGTGGGAGTGCAAACTAGTACAGCCGCTATGGAAAACAGTGTGGAGATTTCTTAAAAAGCTGGAAATAGAACTGCCATATGACCCAGCAATCCCACTTCTGGGCATACACACCGAGGAAACCAGATCTGAAAGAGACACGTGCACCCCAGTGTTCATCGCAGCACTGTTTATAATAGCCAGGACATGGAAGCAACCTAGATGCCCATCAGCAAACGAATGGATGAGGAAGCTGTGGTACATATACACCATGGAATATTACTCAGCCATTAAAAAGAATTCATTTGAATCAGTTCTAATGAGATGGATGAAACTGGAGCCCATTATACAGAGCGAAGTAAGCCAGAAAGATAAAGACCATTACAGTATACTAACACATATATATGGAATTTAGAAAGATGGTAACGATAACCCTATATGCAAAACAGAAAAAGAGACTCAGATGTATAGAACAGACTTGTGGACTCTGTGGGAGAAGGCGAGGGTGGGATGTTTCAAGAGAACAGCATCGAAACATGTATATTATCTAGGGTGAAACAGATCACCAGCCCAGGTTGGATGCATGAGACAAGTGCTCGGGCCTGGTGCACTGGGAAGACCCAGAGGGATCGGGTGGAGAGGGAAGTGGGAGGGGGGATCGGGATGGGGAATACATGTAAATCCATGGCTAATTCATTTCAATGTATGACAGAAACCACTGCAATGTTGTAAAGTAATTAGCCTCCAACTAATAAAAATAAATGGAAAAAAAAAATAAATAAAAAACAATCCAGTGGGGGGGAGGGGGGAACAAAAGACATTCATATAAAAACAAAATGCAAGCTAGACTGAGTAGGTACTGTGTAATTTAATTCATATAGAATTCTAGAACATCTTCTGCCTACAGTCACAGAAAGAAGATTCACGGTTGTGAGGAGCTGGAACAAAGTATTACAAAGAGGTACTAGGAAATTATTAGGGGTAATAAATATAATACAACTTCCTTTCCTTCCTGTAGTAGAATTCCAGCTTTACAGAGAAGCAAAGAGTATTGAGAAGGAAAACATCTGGTCTTTGTAACTGTAGTTATCAGATATTTGTAAGTTAGGAGCTATCTATATTTAAAATATGAAAAATAAAAGTTTTTATTTTAAATAATAAAGCAAGCCCTTATTTTCTAAATTGGACTCTTGATGAAGGGTGTATGTGTGTACATGTATGGGAAAAAGGGAAAAGAGTGAAAAAGAAAGGGAGAGTGAACTTATTGATAATTCTGCCTTCCAAATGCAACTCCACTGGATTTTTTTAAATGCTAAAGAAAAACAACAACAATGTTAAAAAAATGAGTATTTAAAATGCATACTTTCAGTGATGTTACAATCCACTAATTTAATTTTAAGACATATACTCTAATCTAGAGAAACTTTATAATATATACTAGTCTGTGACAGGGGCTTCCCTGATGGCTCAAGCAGTGAAGAATCTACCTGCAACGGAGGAGACATAGGAAACGCGGTTTTGATTCCTGGGTCAGGAAGATTCCCTGGAGGAGGGCATGGCAACCCACTCTAGTATTCTTCCCAGGAAAATACCATGGACAGAGGAGCCCCGTGGCGAAGGTCCACGGGGTCACAAAGCATAGGATACAACTGAAGCAACTGAGCATACACACAGTCTGTAACAATACAACATTGCCGGCCAAAACAAAAATCCAAAAGCAGAATTAATAGATAACGTGTGGCACAGTCATACAATGATATACCAACCAGCATTGAAAATAAATGAACTAGAGCAACATATACCTTATAGGATGAATTTCACACAGCGGTGAGTTTTCACTCAATAATGGCTTTATGTAAAGTTTAAAAACTGAAAACACTATGTTTTAGTTTACATGAAAGTGAAAGTGAACTGAAGTGAAAGTTGCTCAGCCATGTCTGACTCTTTGCAACTCCATGAACTATACAGTCCATGGAATTCTCCAGGCCAGAACACTGGAGAGGGTAGTCTTTCCCTTCTCCAGGGGATCTTCCCAACCCAGGAACTGAACTGGGGTCTCCTGCATTGCAGGCAGATTCTTTACCAGCTGAGTTACCAGGGAATCCTTTAGTTTACATAGTTAAGACTAAATCAAAGGCATGGAAATAGTCACTAGAAAAATCAAGTATAGATTATTTAGCTTACTAGAAATAATGGAGGAGGAGGGACTGTGACTGGGGTGGGCATAAGTAGTTCTCTAATTCTAATTCTTAATATGAGTGGTACTTACATGAATAGTCACTTTATTATTATGCTTTAAACTTAATACACTTTAATATATTTTGTATTATGATATATTTCACAATAAACAATAATGACACTTAAGAAATGCCCACTCTCAAATCAGTGAGTATTTTTTGTGCAGTCTCCCCTTATTTATTCAGCACTTTGTTAGCACAAGGCACAGTCCTAACTCTCTACAAGCTGGTAAAAATGCCAAAAGAATGAGGGGTTGTATATAGACCATCAGCAAATCCATCTTTTTACTGTATGAACATAGATCATATGAACTTATCGGCTATTTGGCTGACTTTTCCATATTTACACACCGTATAATGAAAAAGACAGGATGCTCCTTGAAGTCAATGTTTCAATTCATATATACTATTTATTATAACCTAAGAATATTCCTGGTGGAAGTAAATCTGTGAAATACACAACAAACAGCTGAGAAACACATGACATGCACACAAGGTTTGCTTAACATAAACATATAAGTTATAATAATTTATTTTATGTGAAAGCAAGAAGGTATACTATATGTGTGCATATGTGAAGTCACTCCCATATTATCCCTAAACTGTCTCACAACCACTTAGATCTAAACATTTATCCCAAATTTTATATGTGAAAAATTTCACATGAGAAATGCTGCATCTTTTTAAAAACTGTGAAAATGTCCTCCCTTTATACTAACTACCAAAACTCTAATATTTTTCAATACATTTGTTTCATCGCATTTCCACTCCTCCATGCATGTATCAATCCACCTTATTTTCTGATGCCTTTGAAAATCAGTTGCAGACACTTATTAGCATACATATAATTAACTAAGGCTCAGTATTTCTGACCTTTTCATCTAAGCATTTTTTACATACCTAGAATTCTCATTCGATATATACCAGGTCATGGATGTGGAAAAAAATCTTTTATCACAATGGGAGATTATCTGTTTTGATGTATAGTTATGATACAAAAAAGATTCTTAAATATACTTCCGATTGGTGGTCAGAGTTTGTGTTCTTTATCTTCAAAATGTGGATATTTGTGACTTTCAAGAAACTTAATTACTATTAATATCTAGTAAATGGAATCACTGATATATTCACTATCAATTACTTAAAAGCAATTAACCAAATAAACTAGCATATCACCACAAAGTGGCAAAGGGTATCTTATTACTGCTACAGCCACATGACCTTGAATCACTAGAACTATTAGGAGGACAAAGTGAAATTCCAATGTCGCTGTCTGTTTTATATTTAATTTCTCTTGTCAAATATACAACTATTATAATAATTTTTCTATTCTTTTTCTTGTCACTTTAAAATCTTGAAAAGC